GAAAACATGGAAACACCAAAGACACTTTAATATGTTGTACGTTTTAATAGACCGGTGACGACCGCACAGAGTCGCATTATAACAAAACTTTCAAATAAAACAGCACTGCTTTTTTTCCCAGATACGCACGACCGGAAGGAGCGGAAGCGGTCGACTGTGGCATAATAAAAGCTCCGCTGCTTTTGAGCCGCGTGTCACACTCATTCAGCGGCCTCGTTTCGCTTCGAAGGCTTTCAGCCTCACCCTGCTTCATTCTACTACGTTAATAAATCATTAGCTCATCAATGAACATGATTTCTGCCCGAGTCCCGTCGGATTGCATCGGCTGTGGGGATGAAGACCACAACTCCCATGATTCCACACTGCGTCATGGCGTCATCAAACTACGCCTTTGTCTATTTGTTTATTTTGAATACGCGCCCTCTAGCGGCGAAAATTACATATTGTGCCTTTAAATTGCATTTTTTTTTCTTAAAAATGACTAAAATAACCATTATTGGAACTAATTCCCACCTCTGGTTGTTAATGTGTTTCTTACACTTATGATCTACTTGTTGAGCTTCTTCTATAAGTGAAGTGTAGCCTAGTATGGTGTCCCATTCTGGGAATTTGCGGTCTGCACTTTTTGCTGGTCATTCACTCTCCCACTTACAATCCCTGCCGGTACAGAGACTTGAATCCGTGACTTTTGTGTTACGAGTTCAACTCTCTAACCATTAGGCCACGACTGCCTAATGAATGTGTTAATAATCATTACAATCAAATGCTAATGACTCTGAATATTCAGTTTGAGTTTTCTCTCGTCTGGTTGATAGGGCATCCTAGAACCATCTTATTTTTCTTTAAAACATTTCTTTTTCCCGGCCTCCAAATGTGTTGCTTGCAGCTAAATTGTTTTGCTTTGAATTGAGCAAATTAGAGCCCAGACTTCGCTTCCGTTTGAAATCTGCTTACTTCCACTGGAATGCAGAGTAAAGTTGCTTTCACCATCTGTTGCTGTTGGCTTATTTGGACCGCAGTACCATCATTTCTTGTATTTCTCTCATATTTCCTCCCTAATTTCCTTCACTCAGGGGAGCGATAGATTTAATATGCTGTTTTTGTTTGGACCCCATGTCCAAATAGCCATTTATCAAACCTACAGCACAGTGAGCAAAGCACAGTAGCGAAAATCTCCTGTTCACACTCCGTATTGAATATATTATCTGGATTTATAGTAATATCTTGCAGCCAGAGTGGCTCATATTTCATAATTATGAATTTGGCATCATGGTGTGACAAGTGGAAAATTGCAAATGACTTAATGATGATGTATAACGCATATACGGTGAAACAAGTTGGCTCAACCAACCGTATGTATTGCGGCATTTTAACGTCTTTTAACAAGCCTGTTCGGATGCAACGGAAATCATCCTGTTCCTTTGTTTTAAATCAATCAAGTCAAGAAGGACTGCGCTCTGCTGAAGTTGAAAGTAAATTATTGTGTGAAAAATCAATATACTGCAATCATCCCTTTTCTTTGAGCCACTTGGGTGTGATGATTTTAATATCTGTCTCTTATAGCAATGTTGTAGAGTAATAGTTTTAACATTGGACATATAAAGCACCGTCTTACAGATCTGTGTGTTGCTGTCTTCCTCAGAAATCCGGGAGGCATTTAAGGTGTTTGATCGAGATGGGAATGGCTTCATCTCAAAGCAGGAGCTCGGCATGGCCATGCGTTCTCTAGGGTACATGCCCAATGAGGTCGAGCTGGAGGTCATCATTCAAAGACTCGACATGGATGGTGAGGAGACACATACACAAGACTGTGAATGGAGTGCCATGCTGAAAAGACCAGAATAGCTAGCTAGTCTCTCTCAGCATGGGACGCTGATGTGCTGGGGAAAAAAACAAACAAACAGCAGCCAGAACGTGCAAAGTACCGTAACAACTTTTTAGGTTTTGTGGATTGAACTTAAATGTACAATTTAAAAAAATCATATATTTTATTAAATCTTTCCCCACCATTGACAGAATTTTCCAGCCTTCCGTGTTTTCACTGTTATACGCTAGGAGGCGCTATTACGCATCTTCTGAAAGAATACTGAATGTCTGGATCAAAATACAGTAAAGAAAAAGCAGAAACAAGTGGTCACCTATGTAAGCAGGTGCATATGTAAAATAACGGGATCATCAAGCATTAAACAGCATATAAGATTATCGTTTTGAATCCGATCCAGAAGTAGACTTTTACAAAAAATGCAATTTTCTCAGCTTTTTGTTCAAAATGTTGCTTTTTTAAAATTAAACTTACCAATATTTAAGTGTTGATTTAAAACAAATAATGCATGAAGCTAGAAGAAAACGTTTGGTTTTGTTTAAAAACAGTGGGCCTGTTCTATCTTTTACAACACAATATTTTGGGGACCATGAAAATTTTGTGAAAATGATCAAAAATGTTGGCCGTGGCTGGCAACTTTTTTTTTTTTTTTAAATGCTGCCAGGGAAAGTACTAAAATACTTTTTTTTTTTTACCTGTATAATTAACAGACAACCACCATAAAAACACAGGTGTTAATGAAAAAGCAACATTATAAATCAAATATTATCATAAGTAGCTTTTCCACAAGCTGAAGTAAATACTAATATATAGAAGGTGCACAGGTATACAGTTTCACATAAATACAAAACACCATCATGGTAACATTTTAACAACGTAAGATGTAATATAAAACTCTAATGTACACAACTGATAACCAAAGGCTAATAAGAAACAGTTACTTCAGTGAAAAAACATCAAATGGGATTTCTGGGAATGACAATTTGTGATTTTTCACTGTTAATTATAAGATAACTTGTTCTTTTTAACTTTCAAAAACTAAATTTAACAGTATTTTACAGTAAAACATAATATTACAGTTTTTAAAATACAAATAGTGAGATAACTTATAGCATTAACCAATTACAGGTTTTTACTGTAGCATGTTTACACTTTTTTATAGTAAGAGACGGTTCATCCAAAAATGTTAAGATTTAGTGAATATGTGCTCATTTGCTTGTGTCATTCCAAACTTGTACGATTTTCATTCTTTTGAGGAACAAAAAAAAGAAGAGATGTCTCCAAGTTTTTATTTCAAAATATTGTCTTTTGTGTTCTGCAGAAGATAAAAGTTTGGAACAACATAAGGGTGAGCAAATGTTTTCAATTTTCAGTTTTAGGGTGAAGTATCCCTTTAAGGAAGCCCACCAGACACCAATCAGATGCATTTCTTGGCGCTGTAGGGATGCCAAGTGCAATTGACAGATATTCAACAAATAAAGAAGCTAAATATCTTTAACCTTTTATTGCTCCAAACTATCATATTCCTCACAATGCATGGAGACATAGGGATTATGCATTTGCTAATAATGAGAACACTGTTCACAGTAGGCGTTTTGAAGTTTGACAGTAATTGTCTTGAAATGAATTGAAGGCAAAAGCGGTGCTTTGATGGTTGTAGCGGCGGTGTTTTAAAGAAATGTCTCAGAGATGGTCTTCAGCTAGATAAAACCCACTCCATGAACTTACACTCAATCTGACACAAAAAAATATTGAAGCTAAAAAAAAGAGAGAAAGAGAAAAAAAAGGATAAACTAATCAGTCTCGCATGGAAACTCCATGACGTCACCCGTAGATTTCCGAAGAGCGTTTTTGAATCTCAAAAGTGGGCGGAGGCGGCCGTCGCCATCTTGGCAGCGCGTCAGTGAATTGGCCAGGATGTCAAACTGGAGTGTCACAGGAAAAGGAATTTATTGAATTGCAGTTCACAAATAATAAACAATGACCAGTGGTGGACAGTAACGAAGTAGTTTTACTTCGTTGCTGTACTTAAGTACATTTTTCAAGTATCTGTACTTTACTGGAGTAGTTTTATTTTGAGTAACTTTTACTTTTACTTCACTAAATTTCAAAGCATAAGATCGTACTTTTTACTTCACTACATTTCATAAAACTTATCGTTACTCCTTATAATATATCACGTGCTCCGAGACGCAGAAGCGGTGTCTGATACATGAACAAACTGATTATTTTCAATTAAGGATTAATTATTGTAACTGAAAATCATATTTAGGTCAAAGCTGTCAGTTGTTTGTGAACTAAATCTGCTGTAAAGGGTGATCTGTTTAAGCCCACTGAAATGCTTGAATGCAGACACATTAACATCAGAGTCTCTATATTTTAGGTTAAAAAAACATTAAAGTAACACAGATTAAATAAAATAACTCATGCACGTTCATCTTCCCCGTTGCTGTAACGTTAACAGTTTTATTAAAATGCTACGCATTTAGCCCTATGTGACGTCTGTTTTCATATTGTT